AAATTGGAAATGGTCCTTTGTACAACATTGGAGGAAGAACACTGAGCTATTAAGCAGCTCCGCCACTAACCAGCCATGTGTAGCCTGGGTCAGGCCAGCTATTCAGCCTTTCATTCATTCGTTCACTTGTTTAACTCACTCCATTTGTAAAAAAAATGCTAAGGTATTTTGAAGTAAAGTTATCTTATTGCAGCATTATTTACAATAGCCAAGATATAGAAATAACCTAAGTGACTATCAACAGATGAATGGATAAAGAAGATACGGTATGTATATATAATGGAATACTGTTATATATATATATAATGGAATATTATTCAGCCATGAGAAAGAAGGAAATCCTGCCATTTGTGACAATATGCGTGGAACTTGAGGGCATTATGCTGAGTGAATAAGTCAGACAGAGAAAGATAAATACTGTATGATATCCCTTATACGTGGAATTTAAAAAACCCAGCTCATAGAAACAGAGAGTAGAATGGTGGTTCCTAGGAGCTGGGGGATGGGGGAATTGGGGAGATGTTGGTCAAAAGATATAAACTTGTAGTTAGAAAATGGGTAAGTTCTGGGGATCTAATGCACAGCATTGCGATTATGTTCACAATACTGTATTATATGCTTGAAAGTTGCCAAGAGAGTAAGTTTTAGATGTTCTCATCACAAAACAGAAATGGTAATTATGTGACGTGATGGAGGTGGCAGCTAGTGCTTTGGTGGTAGTCATATTGCACCATATAAGTGTGTCAAATCAGCACACTGTACACCTTAGACTTACACAATGTTATATGTCAATTATATCGCAACTGGAAAAAAGATATCTTGACATTTCACCCTAATAATACTTACCATGAATATCCATCCCCCATCCTTCCAAGGAAGGAAGGAAAGAAGTTTCCGTATATAACCAAAATAGCATTATTACAATTAGCACAGTTCATAGTAATTTTTAATATGCTCCAGTATCCACTTCATATTCAGGTTTCCCAGCTGTGGTCAGTCACATGCTGAGTCCACTTTATGTCACTGTAGTCACTTCACATGAGGAACAAGGCGGTGGAACTGACTGAATGATCTCTAAGGCTCGTGTAAACATGAAAGGTTGACGTTTGATACCTTTAGGAAGTGCTACTCTGATTTTGTTCATTTATCTCTTGTTCCTGGAGAAGGAGGATTCAGTTTGTAGACATAAACCATGGCTCTGTAGCAAGAAGAGGTGGAAATTTGGAAATTGTTTGGTTCATGGACTCAATTGAAACAGGTTGGGGGTGCCTCACACCAGGCTTGACGTGTAGGTTGGGCAGACCTGGCGCTCCTGGGGTTAGATAAATTGTACCCTGGCCAGAGAGAAAGAGGCACAATTAGAGTGACAATGAGGACTTTGACAGTCCTTTTGAGTTCATTTTGTGTTGTTGTTTGAGATGCTGGTGTTTTATTCAAGGAGACTAAATGCTGGGTGTCTCAGGTTACCTGTCTAAAGAAGCTCCCGTCGTTCCAGAACTGAAGAATGACAAAGTCATGCAGTGACTGCATAGCAGATAGCTGTGCTCCCAGCCCTGGAGGTCACTGGCCGGTTAGCACATTCTCTGCATCATGCGGGTGCCCCTAGGGAGCCTCTTCCCAGCTTCTTAGCCTCCCCACCCCAACCTGCCCCAGACCACCTTTTCACGTGAGTGAGCGATGAGGGGACGTGTGTGTGTGTGTTGGGTGGGTTCTAGGTGGAGAGGAAGCAGGATGGAGAGCTGAGGCTTCCTGGAAGATTTATTCCCTACAGGAATTCCGGGCTTCCCCGAAGGGGTGTCCCTGCCCTGAGAATCCCAGAAGTCAGCTCCTCCGGCTGATGGACCTTTTACCCCGGGTCCCAAGAACCAGGACACAGAGGTCAGGGACTTGAGGCAGCGCTTGTTTTGGGAGCCTCCTCCTCTCCCTCACCGAGGAAGAGGGTAGGGATGAGCCATCCAGGTCCCGTGGAGAGTTGGTATGAAGGGAAGGAGGAGCCAGGGCCTGTAGAGCAGGTGGGTTGAGTAAGCAGAGATTGCCCATCCCTTACAAAGTACAGAAACCACACTTGTTGGCGGACATGTTCTGAGAGCGGAGTATGGAGCAGGACAATGACTTTTGTTCCAATAAATGTGGCAGAAGATCGCATTACTTTTTTTTTTTATACACTTAAAAAAATTGTGGTGAAATATACATAATATAAAATGTACCATTTTAACCACTTTTAGGTGTCCGGTTCAGTGGTATTTAGCACGTGCACGTTGTACCACCACCATCCATCTCCAGAACTTTTTCATCTTCCCCAACTGAAACTCTGTACCTACTAACCACCCTCGGTAACCAGCCCCTGGTAACTACCATTCCACTTTCTGTTTCTATGGATTTGACTCCTCTAGGTGCCTCAGAGAAGTGGAATCATAGAGAATATGACCTTTTGTGACTGGCTGCTTTCACTTAGCGTAATGTCCTCAAGGTTCATCCGTGTTGTAGCATGTGTCTGAACTTCCTTTTTAAGACTGAATAACATTGCATCCTATGTCTATACTACTTTTTGTTTATCCATTCATCTATTGATGGACACTTGGGTTGCTTCCACCTTTTAGCTATTTGAATAACGCTGGTGTGAACATTGGTGTACAAATATCTGTTTGCATTACATTTTTTAAAGTAGACTTTTTATTGAAGTATAACATATGCGTTATATTTTTGGTGACCCCAACACACTTCCCACTCACGTTGAACCTGAACTTGTTATAATATATATACACAAAAGTTGACAACTGGGGACAAAATAGACAAGGTTCAATGATAAAATGTATTCTAACAATATCATGTATTATATATAATAAATAATATATTAACATTATATATAATTTATATAAAATATTATATAATTAATAATATATTAATATGTGTTAATGTATTATTAATATTGTGTATAATTTATATAATATGCATAATATAATAATATATTATATATTCATAATATAATAATGTATCCTATATTATATTATGAATATATAATATTGTTAGAATACATTTTATCATTGAACCTTGCCTCTTTTGTTCTGAGTTGTTAATTTTTGTGCACCTAAATGTACATTTAATCTTGCTAGATCCAGTTCACTAAACCAGCCTGTCGGGATCTTTTAGAATTCTGCATCTTCCACCTGGTTTGCTTTCGGGTCCCCCACAAGTATCATGCTCATATCCTCTCTCTCTCCCTACAAGTCCCCATGAGCTGTGCATGCTGTTGGAAACTCCCCCTGCTCAGCCTGTTTCTTTGGGTGGAGCTATGCAGCCATTCACCTGTCTACCCAACTTTTCTCACCTCTAGTCGCATTCTTCACTTCGTTCCTAAGGATATCATGAGGAGACTTGTCACCTTGTGATATGTATGCCTGCACATTTCCATACTATAGCAGTCTGCAGAGCTGTTAAGAACTAAGCCAGGCTGGTCATACATCCTGTTAGGGTTTTTTGGTAGGTAATAGTAGCCAACAAAAAGTTGTAGGTGAGTGAGGGTTAGCTATTCTCCCAGAGCCTCACTACCAGGTTATGATGAAAGCAAGTTTCCGACCAAATGCAGCGTCAGACGCGTGTTAAACAAACATGTGTTAGCAATCAGGTGGAATCCAGTCTGTATGTTCTGTTCCATCACCTGAAGCCCCTGGTCTGTGCCTCTTACTGCTTCTTAGGTGCTCTGACCGCCACTTGGGGTGAGAGCTTCCCTTGAGGCAAATTTGCCAATATTCCAGAAGCAGGATTCCATTTCCCTTATGACAGGCGCCAGGCAGCCAGGATTCCTGCAGACCAATGGCCGGACCTTTTTCAGGATCAAATCTAAGAATAGAGGCTATGGACCTTGCTGGATGGATTCTTGTACACCATGCGTTTAAGAATAGGGAATTTCTAAAATATTTTACCTCATTCTTAACACTCGCCATGGTAATTAACAAACCTCTAATTTCATCAAGAAAAAGATCATTTCTGACGTTCATTCTGCTAACTGGCTGAGGGTCTGCTGTTACTCAAATACAGAGAGCAGAAGTGCTTCCAGCTGTGACTTCTTGAGTAAGGAGTACGTTTTGCGAGATTGCTTCGTGTTGCTGCATGTATAAATTGTTCGCGTTTTCTCATTTCTGTGTGGTATTCCATTGTATGAAATTTAGACACCCATTCTACACTTGATGGACGTTTGATGGTTTCCAGTTTGGGGCTATTGTGAATAAAGCTGCTAAAAACATTCTTGTGCATGGCTTTGGTCAATAGAGTATGAATTATTGATTAGGGTGACTGTCCCTAGAATTGAAATTTACATTCACTGGTACATGGAGTTTATCATATTGTCCGTGCCAATTGGGTTTAAAGTCAATTGAAGGCGTTATACAAAACTATAACAAAGGAATGAGTTTAGTCTAGTATACGTCTGTTTAGCAAATCCGTGCTGGTACAAAAACAAATCATTACTTTTGTGTTCCTTGACTGTAATAAATATTCTAAACCAGAAGTTCAATTTCCTGAAGGCTGAGATTCTCATGTGAAAGTATGTGGTTTCCTCATGCCTCTTCTAGAAGGGGTGGGAAAAGAACCTTTTCGTTAATTCTGCAAATAGGCAACATTTTCTAATTTTAGATCTCATTGGGAAGAAAAGTCATGAATTACTAAAAACTCTGAGAATATAAACTAGTTTCAGGGGTCCCCTGAATTAGAATGAATAAGGTTTTGAAATATTCATTTATGTTTTTCTTTCCATGCCATTTTGGGTATTGTGATGAAAAAAACCTATGTGCTGATGATTTAGAATCCCTGAATACTCTTATAAAAATTTAATTCCACCCATATTAACTAGGCTTTCAAGGCTTTTTTAGAGGGCCTGTTTTCCTCTGATAGGTTGCTTGAGGGAAAATCTGTTAGCCCAGAGAATTGATGGATGGGAGTGGAATAGGGAAACCGAACTCTGGCTGGGGGATGCTGCATTGATTTAAATTTTAAAAGAGTCTGTGTTTTATGAAGGTGAAGAATTAAGTTAGCACTCCCCTTGACAAGAATGGAAAAATTCTAGTGACCTATACCACACACATACATTTAGGATATCACCACCTTTTTATAGCACCTAAGAATATTTTGAACAACCCTACACGAGGGGAGTCTGGCAGTGTGAACCTACATTACAGATGTGGCAGTCCTGTTCCTGGGGCTCTTTCCTACACATACATCTGCACGTGTGATAAGATGACATTTGTACAAGGTTATTATTGAAGCTCTGTGTGTAACAGCAGAACAGCGGAGGCCACCAAGCCTCCATCAGTCAATATGGGAGCCGTTAAAGGATGGATGTGTGTACAGTGGAATGCAGTTGGTAAAAGAGAATGATGAAGATCTGTGTTCTGATATGGAATGATATCCAGCTACATTGCCAAGTGAAAGGAACACAGTAGAGGAAAGTGTATAAAGTGTGCTATCTTTATGTAAGAAAGTTGGGGATACCAAAATATGCAGGTGAATTTGCTTATATTTGCATAAAGAAACACTGGAAGGATAAATAAGAAAGAAATGCATATGGCAGCAGGCAGAGGGGAATGGAGTGACTGGGGGTGGATGTAAGAATGACTCCTTCTGCATGTAGCTTTTTATATTGTGTTGAATTTTTGAATCACATAGAAAACAACTAACCAACGAAAGTGAGTCTGTCTGGGCATGCCCTTTGACACTGAACTAAACAAGAGTAGGTGGCAGCAAGGGAAGCTGGTTGAATGCATCATGAAGGAGTGAGGCCATCCACTCCAGTTCTTTTCTCAGAAGCTAAGTCAGTGCATCCAGTTATCCAGTCAGCAAATGCGTGTTGAGCCAATCTACCAACCCGACATGCCGGGCACTATCCTAGGTGCTGTTAGTGGGAGCCTTCGGGTCCAAGCTTTCATGGAGCTGGCATTCTTGAAGAGACAAACAGACTACAAGCAGATCATGAGCGAGGGAGAGAAGAAGGCTCATGCTGCTGGGGCCTTGGGAAGGAGGTGAGAGGAGTCCATGTGAGGGCAGAAGGGAGGTTAACTGCTGGTCTATATTCCTATGTGTTCGTGGTGCATTTGTGAACAATATTGTTGCACACATGATAATAAAGTGGGGTGAATTTTCACTTTTAATCTTTTGTTAGAGCAGTCAGTATACTCCAATCTACTATTGTGTTGGCAGGAGACTGGAATTTAGTGGAATAAATAAAAAGTTGATTTGACCATCATGGTTTGTTTTCACAACAGTGGGGCTGTATTGAGGATAATGTTATCTATATGATTTGTGACTATAACCATAGGTTATTCAACAGACAAGATATTACTATCACAAGTCTATTATTTTTTTTCATTCAAAAAGTGGTTAAATGTATATTGTCCCTTTACTATGACATATTAGCTATGGAAAATTGAAACACACGTGCACACACACAGAGTTCTCACATTCCATGTATCTTCATGACAGTGATTGTCTGAAAATACCGTGGAGATGTTTCCACAGTAGATAATGTAGACATTTGAAACATATTTCTCCTGTGTTTATTTTGTTTTTTTCTTATTCTTGTTTTTTCCTGGCAGATTTCTTTTTCATAGTTTCTGAATCAGATAAAAGATTATTATGGTTATTTTTAAAAGCTCCTATGATGAAATAGTTTTTGAAAGAGAGGTTTTTCTCTGTGTCTTTGGGTTCAATTAAATTTTGGTGAAACTTGAGAAACAAAGATCAAAGCCATAGAAAAATGTGATGGTCAAAGTGCTTCTTGCCTCTCCAAGTCTACAGGAACTCAAGTCTTGCTCAGATATGAAGGAATAACAACACAGACTGGCAGCCAGACTTGGGAGTCTGGAATTTTCTTGGAAACCGAAGTCCAAAATATAGATCTGTCTGGAGCCAGTATATTCATGAACAATCCTAGGTTTGTGATTTAGTTAAGAAAGCACCAGAAAGCAGATTTGTTTCAAGAGTTAAAAAAAATGCAGAGTGATACAGATCCTTATTTCCTAATCATGATAAGCTCCACTCTGTAGAATAGTAAGGAAATGTCCAGGCATCCCAAGATCCACTGTCATCCTAGGAAATGACACGGAGTGATGGGGGAAGCTTGCCATTCATTGTATTTCCCTGTTCAGGATTGCTTAAGAGACCTGGACCATCTTTGGGGACTGGCTGTTTCAGAACTTTGTCACATCTGTTCTCTTGGAATCTCAGGGTGAACTCAGAAGGGCGTGGTCTTTGCGTCCTAGTAGATATAGAAAAAGAGAGGCAGTGACTGCGTGAGCTCTTCCGCTCCGTCGCCTGTACTGGCCCTTCCAGGAGTGTTTGACAGCATCGCTGGGGGCGTCACTCGAGCTAGTCCTTGCAGGTGTGACTGTTCACATTCTCCATCACCCGCCGCACGAGGCAACCTCGCAAAAAGTGTTTGAAATGCATCAAGCAGCTATGCTCAAGGACAATGCAAGGGATCTGGGAACTGTGTGGGTGTGGATCTGGTGCTCGTGGAGTTGCGTTTTCTTTCCGAATTTAATTTCTAGAGAGGAAATAAGAAGAACAGGGATGCACAGGTGAGAAAGGACGATGGGGAAATTCAGTGAAGGTGGGCTGATTCTCTGATGCCTTTTGCGGTTTGGGGTAGCACTTGAACAAGACACGTTTTTAAAGGAAGCCAACTGACAAGCAGCGCGCCAGCCTCTGAAATCTTTCACAGTTATTTTTAGGCGTTCTTCCTCTGCTAATGTAGTCCATACGGGCTCCTAATAGGAGACCAGCTACGCTGAGTGGAGACTGTGTGGTTTTGCCACATCTTTGGAGGAAGAAGTTTGTTGCTCATCACAGAAACCAAAGACTGCTTTTCTTGGGAGCAACTAACTCTCTGTTTCCTAAATATGCAGTCAACACTGTTCTCTGCTGTCTACTTCACCTGAATATTCCCAACCAGACTTCTGACATCTTTTGCATACAGCAGGATCTTTAGCTCTTTTGCGGGTCCATGACAGAAGATGCGTGTGTGTTCACAATAGTTTTAGTGTTTCGCCAAAGCCCAAATTCTGTTAATTTCATGAATAATAATAAATGCATTCTTTTATGAGCATATTTTCCCGAATGAACAATTTGTATTTCTGGCCTGTTAAACTGCTGATAAGCATTTGGCCGTATCTCTGAGAGTCTCAAGGCAGTCGGACTGAATGGGTGTAAAATATGATAGTAACAAGGACAACAAAAATAGAAAGAGCTGATATTTGGATATCGCATTGGGGCTCACTAGACAAAATTTCTTTGTTGTTTGTGTTATTCAATGGGAGAGGGATAAAAAGCACAGACAAAACAGGCTCAGTGGGGTGACTTGAGTCAGCAGCATTTAATTCTAACCAATTAAGGTAATGGGGTCTTCTCATGTTGGTGAGAATAGCTGAGAGGGCAGCGCTTAATTAATGAGAGCATGGACAAAGAACGTTCTGAGTGGGCTGGGAAGAAGAAATGAGCATCACACCAGAGAAGGGGTATCTCTTGGCAAAATTCTGTGGAGCAAACAGCGGCTGGGATTCGTGTCAGGGGCAAACTTATTTCCTGACAAGTTGGGTTAGGGAATGAAAATAAACTCTGAGAGTTTATTTTTTTAAATATATATATATGAGTATCTTGTGTGTTGGTGCTTATTAATATTTATTAATAAATTTGGTCATTTGTTTCTATTCAAATTTGACCTTTTTAAGTAAACAACAAGAATTTGTAACCCGCCAGCACATCTGTATCTTTATCAACCAGTTTTCTCACGTCTGAGGTTGTTGCTGGTGTGTTTTCACTACCAAGTTCTTGGTGCTTTTTTCTCACCTTGGGCTGGCGACTTGCAGGATGTGATGCAAATACTGAGCTGGCTTCTGAAAGCCTGGTTCAAGTGTATCCCAAAACAATAATAAAAGTCACTGGCTGTTCCCCCCTCTTCTTTCCAGGATTGTTGAATGACTAAGTAAGAAATTAACTAAGATGATGGATGTGCAAACCCCTAGCACAGGCCTTGGCAGATGCGTGCTCAATAAAATGGTATTTTCCCTCCCTCTCAGTAGCGCTTTTCAGCCTTCCCCCAGAGTGTTCTCCCGTGTGGGGAGGAGTAAGCACAGGAACTCAGGTGTCTCTGGGTGTTTCACAGACTCCCGCCGAGGACCACTGATGCTGCAGGAAGATGGGCATCATGATCTCGTGCCTTCACTGCCCCTGCACACATACTGTAATTTGAGAAGTTTGGCATTAGTGGCTAATGTCAGACCAGGCAGAAAGGAGTGCTCAGTATATTCACCCCAAATATGTTTTCATATTTCATATCCTTTGAAATTTGGGCACTTATGTGTGGTTCATAAGGCAATTCTCTTAAGCAGAAGGCTAGATTAACACACACTCATTCCCCAGCCATTCTGGACATCGGGCATTTGCATGTACAGCCATAATGCGGAAATCTGCTGAGAACACACGCGGAAAGTACTCAGAGTTTGGTGGATTTGAGTTCCATGCAGAGCTTTAATGGTAGACTTGTAACTGAAGGGTAAGAGAATGGCCAACTCAGATAAACAAAAATAAAAAAGAAATCGTCCTGCTCATCTGAGCATTTCTGCAGCAGCCACTAATTACAATCTTCAGTTACTCATGAATTCAGGGATTCTTACAGATAATTCTCTGATAGCCCAAAAATTTCACTGTGGTTGTTAGTTTTTATTTCTATTGACCCAATCTTACTTTAAGAACAACTTTTGACTAAAGAGCAACCACCACATGTTCCATCTACGTTGTCGCATTTAATCATCCCTTTGGCCCTGTGATGTGGGGTATACCCCCGTGTTGCAGATGAAGAGACTGAGGTTCAGGGAGGCTAAATGCAAGGTCACCTGTTGAGTCATGGAGCTGGGCTGCGACTTCACCTCTCTGACTCAAGACCCATTCTCTCTGTCTCTTCACTACTGCTTACCCACTGGTGGAAATGTAGTAAAATGTCCTGAAAGATAGGAGGAGGCCAGAAAAAGGCTAAAATGATCTTGAATCATCAATTTCTGAGTAATCAAGAATTGACCAATATTTGAGAGAGTTAACTTCCGTTTCTTCATGTAAAAGTATTGATAAATATTGTAAG